TTTTCTAAAGATGTATTTATTTATGCATACAAGAACTGAGGTACAGGCCAGAGGTGTGGGGGGGTGAGAGAATTCACCAGAGTCAGAGTGGGGAGCAGAACAGGCAGAGGGACCGAGGTACACTGCTGAGGGGAGCAGTGGGCGCAGCAGGAGAGGTCTGCGTGTCATGTGGACCCTCGCTGGCGGCCGGGGATCAAGCTGGCGCTGCAGAGGCTGTGGGCAGCTTCGCAGCCCAGCGCTCAATCGTTGTGCCACAGGGAAGGCCCAGGCAAAAATATTTTTAAACCTCCAGTCATCACTGTGTGTTGTGTAACTAAATCTGTTGATTTTGTTTCATATATTCCAAAGTTTTGTGGAGTTCATATACACTGGGCATTTTCAGCATTATTTCTGGAGATGTATTTTGTTTTGAAATTTTATTTAATGTGATATTAATATAAATACACCAGACTTGTTATTACCATTTGAATTGTGTATCTTTTTCTGTCAATCTTCTTTAAATCTATAATATTTTAAGTTCTATTTCTATAAGCACCTATAATTAGGTGCTAATCCATTCTGCTTATCTCTATAATTTACTATTTAGACCATTTGCAATTAGTTTGGCTGATGTATTTGCTGTAATGAATTTGTTTGGGTCCACCATTTTGCTTTTGCTTTCTATATTATTTCTTTTTTTAAAAAAAGATTTATTTTGTTTATTTATTTATGCATACAAGAGCTGTAGTCTAGGCCATAGGTGCAGGTGGGGTGAGAGGATTCACCAGACAAAGTGGGGAGCAGAACAGGTAGATCTACTGAAATACACTGCTGAAGGGAGCAGCAGGCAAGACAGGAGAGGTCTGCTGCACCATATGGGTCAGCTCCCTGGCGAGAGATGGAGGATGCTACCTCCCAGGCCACAGTGGCTGGTGATGGCTTGATAGCACTAAGAATTTTTTTTTTTTTTTGCACTTTGATTACAGTTTATTTTCTTTTCTTTTTTTTTTTAAATAAATTTTATTTTTATATTCCCATACAATTGCAACCCCCCCATTCTGACCCCAATCCCTCCCCTCCGCCCCCCACCCCCAAAAAGTGTCTCTGGTTCATAGTTTTTTGTTGATTTTGATTTTCACTTTCTTATAGTTATTCATTTTCCTGGTCCCTTATTTAGGTTTTCTAGATTCCTGCTATGAGTGAGACCATCCGGTATTTTTCTTTTTCTTTTTGGCTTATTTCGCTGAGCATGATCCCTTCCAGCGCCATCCATGTTGCTGCAAATTGCATGTGTTTATCTTTTTTGAATGCTGAGTAATATTCCATGGTATATATGTACCACATCTTCTTGATCCAGTCATCTATTTTTGGGCATTTGGGCTGTTTCCAAAGCTTAGCTATTGTAAACAGTGCTGCTATAAACATAGGGGTGCAGGTGCTCTTTGGAATTGATGTTTCTGTGTCCTTTGGGTAAATACCTGGGAGTGGAATTGCTGGATCATATGGAAGCTCTATGTATAGTAGGTCCAGAAATCTCCACACAGCTCTCCATAGTGGTTGGACCAGTTTGCACTCCCACCAACAGTGCAGGAGAGTTCCTTTTTCTCCACAACCTCGCCAACATTTGTTGTTGCTAGTTTTTTTAATATGTGCCATTCTCACTGGTGTAATATGGTATCTCATGGTAGTTTTGATTTGCATTTCCCTGATTACAAGTGATGTTGAACATTTTTTCATATGCCTTTTGACCATTTGCATTTCCTCTTCAGAGAAGTTTCTTTTTAGCTCTTCTGCCCATTTTTTGACTGGGTTATTTTCTTTGTTGTTGTTGAGTCTCATCAGCTCTTTGCAGATTTTTGTGATCAGTCCTTTATCATTAGTGTTGGGTGCAAAAATGTTCTCCCAGTCGGTGGGGTTTCTCTTTGTTTTTGTTATTGTCTCTTTTGCTGTGCAGAAGCTCTTTAATTTGATGTAGTCCCAGCTGTTTATCTTTGCCTTCACTATCACTGCTTTGGGTGATGTGTCTGTAAAGATGTCTTTGATGTGCAAATCACGTAGTGTTTCGCCTATATTTCCTTCTATATATTTTATGGTTTCAGGTATTATGTCTAGTTATTTAATCCATTTTGAGTTGATTTTTGTGTATGGTGTGAGGTAGTGGTCAAGCTTCATTCTTTTGCATGTAGCAACCCAGTTTTCCCAGCACCATTTATTGAACAAATTTTCTTTGCTCCAATGCATAGTCTTTGCTCCTTTGTCAAAGATTAGTTGACCATAAATCTGTGGGTTTATTTCTGGATTTTCTATTCTATTCCATTGGTCTGTATGTCTGTTCTTGTTCCAATACCATGCAGTTTTGATGATTATGGCTTTGTAGTATAGTTTGAAGTCTGGGAGTGTGATGCCTCCATTCCCTTCTTTCTTTTTCAGGAGAGCTTTGGCAATTAGGGGTTTTTTGTGATTCCATATGAATTTCATCAATAATTGTTCTATTTCTTTGAAGAATGACATTGAAATTTTGATTGGAATAGCATTGAATCGGTATATTGCTTTTGGTAGGATGGCCATTTTAATAATGTTTATTCTCCCAATCCATGAGCAGGGGATGTCTTTCCATTTCTTTGTGTCTTCTTCTATTTCTTTTAACAGTGTTTTATAGTTTTCTTTGTATAGGTCCTTTACCTCTTTTGTTAGATTTATTCCCAAATATTTGATTTTTTTGTTTCAATAATAAAAGGGATGGTTTTTTTGATTTCTTCTTCTTCAGATTTATTGTTTGTGTGTAGGAAGGCTACTGACTTTTGTGTGTTGATTTTGTATCCTGCCACTTTACTGAACTGATTGATGAGTTGAATTAGTTTTTCTGTGGAGTTTTTGGGGTTCTCTATGTGTATTATCATATCATCTGCAAATAGTGATAGTTTGACTTCTTCTTTTCCTATTTGGATTCCTTGGATGTCTTTCTCTTGTCTTATTGCTCTGGCTAGGACTTCCAGTATTATATTGAAAAGCAGTGGTGAGAGTGGGCATCCTTGTCTTGTTCCAGATCTTAATGGAATTGCTTTCAGCTGTTCACCATTGAGAATGATACTGGCTGTTGGCTTCTCATAGATGGCCTTTATGATGTTGAGGTATGTTCCTTGTATCCCAAGAATTTCAAGGGCTTTTATCATGAATGGGTGTTGCACTTTGTCGAAAGCTTTCTCAGCATCTATTGATATTATCATATGGTTTTTATATTTCTTTTTGTTGATGTGTTGGATAACGTTGATTGATTTTCGGATGTTAAACCATCCTTGTGTCCCTGGAATGAATCTTACTTGGTCGTGGTGAATTATCTTATGGACACATTGTTGGATTCTGATAGCTAAAATTTTGTTGCGGATTTTTGCATCAGTGTTCATTAGGGAGATTGGCCTGTAGTTTTCCTTTTTTGTGTAGTCCTTATTCGGTTTTGGTATTAGTGTAATGTTGGCTTCATAGAACGTGTTTGGTATTGTCTCTTCCTTCTCAATTTTTTGGAAGAGTTTGTGAAGGATAGGCACCAATTCATCTCTGAATGTTTGGTAGAATTCGTTTGTAAATCCATCAGGTCCTGGGCTTTTGTTTTTGGGGAGGTTTTTGATTACCATTTCAATTTCGCTGCTTGTAATTGGTCTGTTTAGGTGTTCTATTTCTTCTTTATCTAGCTTTGGGTGATTGTAGAGTTGTAGGAATTTGTCCATCTCCTCTAGATTGTTGAACTTGTTTCCATACAACTCTTCATAGTAGTTACTGATTATTCTTTTTATTTCTGTTGGATAGCACTAAGATTTTAACCCCGGCACCACCAGGGAGGTCCTCTACATTATTTCTTGATGATGATTATATGATTATGAGTAATCAGTGTTGTTTGTACCTACATTGTATACTTTCTGCCTTTGGGGGAAATTATTTGAATATTTTTAGAATTCTGTTTCAGATATCACACAGCAATGTCAAATCCCAAATGCTGTCTATTTGCTTTTATTGTTCAACATCCTGTTTAGTCCCCAATTGTCTCATCAAGATGCCCCTTTCTTGACACCCAAAGAGACACAGAATTCCCTTTTCCTTTTTTGTCTTTCACTTTCTTTCTCCTTTATTTCCATACTACATAATTATTTTCCCTGAGAACTTTCTATAGTTTCCTCTTGGTTGTGCTCTCTTACATTTTATTCTAGATAAAGCACAGTGCTTGAAAGCAGAATCCACACAATCCAGAATCAACAAAGAGATTCTTGCACATCCTTAAGTATTTCAATAGATTGTTCCATTGATTTTCTTTTTGCATCAGTTTAGCCTGAACCTTTAAGATCCCAGAGACTCAATATATGTTCAACTCTCTTGTGTTCTAGAAACTAATATACTATCTACTGTGTTACACGGTGTGTTAGTACAATGGATGCTTATGTGTATTACCATTTCCACTGGTGTTGTCTCTTTAGTTTTTTATTTTTTTAATATATTTTTTTAAAGATTTATTTATTTGTTTATACAAGCACTGGGTACAGTCAGAAGCGCAGGAGGGTGAGAGAATCTACCAGAACCAGAGTGGGGAACAGAACAGGCAGTCTGACGAAATACACTGCTGAAGGGAGCAGCCGGCAGGGCAGGAGAGGCCTGCAGCACCATGTGGGACCCTCGCTGGCAGCCAGGGATGGAACCGGCACTGCAGAGGCTGCGGGCAGCTTCGCAGCCCAGCACTCAACTGCTGCACCACCAGGGGAGGCCCTGTTGTCTCTTTTATACGGTGTCACTTGGTATCAGAGGCTTCCTGGTGCTTGGGTGATGGTTTTGCTATCCTCAGTCTACAGTACAAACAGAGGACATAGCTTTTGAAGAGATTTCTATTGTTGGTTGAGCTCTTGATTTTTCAAGCTTAAGATACAAAGAATCACAAGTTAAAACATCCTCTAAATTTCAGAGTAAGTGCTTATTTTCTTAAGTGTTTGCTACAAATTATTTTGGCTACCACAATCTAACCCCACTCTGTTTCTCAGATTTGGGCGGAAGCTGGTTCTCAAATGGAGCCTCCTGCAGCTCTCTGTCTGGGGCACCTGTGCGGCCTTCGCGCCCACCTTCCTCATCTACGGCTCCCTGCGCTTCCTGTCAGGTTGTTCTGCTGTGTCCATCATGACAAATGGCGGTTTGCTCCGTGAGTCACCAGTTTGATCAACTCCATTGCCCAAGCCTTGACAGTGACCTTGAACTTTCACGACAGACTGGCATTAATATCCCCTTGGGTGTTGTGTTGTTTTTTGCAGTTCTGGAGTGGGCAAGTTCCCGGTCTAAAGCTTTCATGATAACACTGATATTCTGTGCCTTTAGTGCTGGACAGATGGCCCTGGGAGGGCTGGCTTTTGTGTTTCGGGAGTGGCGCACCCTGCAGCTGGTGCTGTCTGTGCCTCTCTTTGTCTTCTTTCTCTCCTCAAGGTAAGAGCCTCTCTCCCACTTTGTCCCGTGGGAAACAGGCATGGACAATGAATATTGAATGGGGAACAGTGATCTCTTCTTCCCTGGATGCTTCCTTATTGTGAGGACCTCATGTCCTGTCACTAACTTACTCAATCTGTGCGACTGGATAAGCAGAACTTGGAGTAACAGTGATTCTCCTGCCTGAGAGTCCTGGGTATTCCTGCCATCTTTCTTTTAAGTCTTACTCAGTATAATGGTCACAGAGTTATTCCAGGATTTCTTTCCTTCATAAAATATAGACTAATATTTCAAAAAGAAACACCTTCAATTTTTCCTTGACTTCAGAATGAATCAGCTTATGGTCAACTTTTCAGTGATTTTTAATTTTTGTGGGTGAAAGTGAATAAAAGGAAAAAGCGGAAAATTTATTCATATAGCTGTTTGATAAAACAAGAACACGGTTTCTCCACTACTAAAAATTGATGTGAAGATTGGGTGAAACACATCATGTGTCAGAACTCCCTCTTCCTGTAAGTATTTTTAACATTAATTTATGGATAACTTCATTCCCACACTTAAAAACCAATCTAGAAGACAGTCATATTTAGTAAAACATGGAGCAATTACTGTAGACCTTATACAGTCAGATGAATTCACAGACACCGGAAAGTGTAATCCAGGTCAGATTCATCCATTATGTCATTCTAGTCTCATAACAACCCTGCAAGGAAGAGAAGCTGCTGTCCCCGCTAGCTGGTGAGAAACTGAGGCAGATGGAAACAAGCAACACACTTAGGTAGTTAGTGACCAGCCAAGCATAGTACTTCCAAAGGTTACTGGGTTTTTAAACTCATATAATGTGGCACTTTAAAAAAATTATATGTGTGTGTGTGTGTATATATATATGTTATATATGTAGTACAGAAACATAATATTCAGATATAATAGAAAATATATAATAAAATTAATAGAAAAAATATATATATACATATATATATATTGAGAACAAAATTGCTAGATTCATGCCAAACTTTGAAAGGAAATTAAGCATGTAAGGGCTTCTGTTACACTTCTTGGGAAGTCTTCCAATGAGTAATCAGAGAGGTGATTTGACTCCAAAACCTACCTGCCTAGCCATGAAGGCATACCGCCTCCATAGTCATGTCCATGGTTTCTCACTATTTGTGTAACAGAACATGATTTCCTGTTCCCATCCCAACAAGTCGCAGATAATAGACAGACGGCAAAAGCCTCTGTCACCAGTAACAATCTCAAGCAAACATGAGAGCTGCCGCACGCGTGCACACCTCTTCCATCAGGTGGCTGGTGGAGTCCGCTCGGTGGCTGATCATCGCCAACAAACCAGACCGGGGCTTAAAGACACTTCAGCGAGTGGCATGCATAAATGGCATGAAGAATGCTGGAGAAGCTCTGAACATGGAGGTGAGCAGGCGAGGGGAGGCAGGTCCTGGCTGCAGGAAAGACATAACTGGCCTCTGCCTTCTCCTGACTGAGACACACAAGCTGTTTGGCTAACAAGGGCAGAGGGCTGAGGGTGCACTACAGTTCCCTCGTCTCCTGTGGCTCTCAACAGGGGCTTGAGCACCAGGTAATGCCCTCTGTTCAATTCCTGGTCTGAGGCTATAAACTACACTCATGCATGGGGGCCCTGCACCCCTCTAGGGCTCATTTTCAAAATATTGTTCTTGCTGCATAATTTCCTGGAGTCTCTTGAACTACCTACATTTTCCTGCCTATCACTTTCACTCCTGCGACTCTGTGTGATGTTATACTAGCCAGAAAGGGAGCACAGCTCTCTCAGGCTGTTGGGTGCGGTGTTCCCCACCAAGCCTGACTGTTGGCAAATGACGTGTGTTGGTTGCTGTTGAAGGTTTTGAGATCCGCCATGCAGGAGGAGCTGGAGGCAGCAAAGAAAACACCTTCTGGGTTTGACTTGTTTCGAATACCCAACATGCGTAAAAGGACCCTTCTCCTGTTCTTTATCAGGTAGGCCTCACGCCGGGCTGAAGATATCAAGAGTGGTAGTATGAGTCTACTTATATCAAAGGTTATAACAGTGTTGTGAGAGCAAGGAACAGAATAAGCCAGGTGATTGTTATGTTGGGAGTTAATGGAAAAAACTTATAAACACACGGAAGTGATTGTATAATCAGGAGTTAATGATTTGATATAGCACTATCCATCTCCTCACGAGAGACTAATGTTGAGAACTTCCACACAGTACAGATTTTGACTTTCTATTTTCTTTCCATTTTAATTGAAACAAATCTTTCATGCAGTGTGGTGAAGAGATCACGAATATATCCAACCCAATGAATATTTCAGTATATAAACATGCAACGAGCTTGCCCTACACACAACAGGGCGGGATAGAGATGCTGGGAACACTGTCTCCCCTCACACAACCAAAAAAGAATATAAGCCTAGAAGAAAATTAGCTCAAAGGACGATTTAGGGATTCACCAACAGAGACAGGATTTTTCCGAAGGTTTTTCACGGAAGTGGTTGACTTGTTGGGATGGTAGGCTAAGAGGCAACGGGGGGTCACTGACAGGGTGGGGGGAGAGCAGGCTGGGGTGGGGCCCAGCATGGCAGATGTTAGGAGAGGAGCTGTTTGGAAAACGAGCAGTACCAGTGGGCTCTCAGAGTATGAGAGCAGCTGGGAGTCCAGCATCCCGTAGTTGGACAGAGAGGAGAGCCATGGCCTACAACAGGTGAGAGGGGCCTTCTACCCCTTCCACTGGAAAAATCGGACAAAGGGAAATTGGTGGAGGTGCACAGCATGCTGAAGAGAAGCAGTCAGCCAGCAAGTCATGCCCTGCTGCTACTCAAAGAGAACAGGCCCTGACCTGTGACATTGCACAGGGGGGCCCAGCGGCAGCCACAGTGGTGGGGATTGTGCAGCGGAGGGGGCCTGGTGCAACCATGCACGCTCAAGTTGATTTGCACAGATGGGTAAAGAAGAATCCTGGAGCCATTGGTGTATTTCACAAGCCTTTAATGTTGGAGCAGGAAACCAGACACACAGGCACACCAGGCAGGGAGGCAGGCACAGGCCAGGCCCAGGACCCGGGTGCTGGGAGGCTGGCAGCAACCAAGTGTTCCATCCCTTAGCAAATCATTGTGGTTTCTTTCTCTGGCCTTGTTCTCTGGCACGTCATTTTGCAGTCTCACATCAGAGTGGTCCTCCAGCAGCCGTCGTCCTGTCTCAGACATTGCCCTTACACCCCTGGCCTCTCCACATAGGGCCTGCAATTACACATGCACAGGCCAGCACTCCCTGGACCCCGTGTCCACAATCACAGGTTCCTGTGCCCCACACCCATGCCCCTCCAGGCAGAGGAGAGCAGACTGAAGACCAGGCTCACCGCCCCCACACTCAAGCCTGGATGAAGCAGAGCAAGCCACTAACTCTACAGTAAAACATAATATTGTAAGCCAATGTCACCTCGATTTAAAACAAATCCACTTTTGGCCCTCCCAGGTGGCGCAGCAGTTGAACGCTGGGTTGCGAAGCTGCCCGCGGCCTCGGAGGCGCCAGTTCGATCCCCGGCTGCTCCCCGGCCACCAGAGGAGGGTCCCACATGGCGCGCAGACCTCTCCTGCCGCCCGCTGCTCCCTCAGCAGTGTACTTCGGTCCTTCTGCCTGCTCTGCTCCCCGCTCTGGCTCTGGTGAATTCTCTCACCCTCCCGCGCTTCTGACTGTACCCAGTGCATGTATAAACAAAACAAACAAACAAACAAACAAATAAATAAAATAAAACATGCCTCTACTTAAAAAAAAATTTTTAATAAATAAATAAATAAAACAAATCCACCTTTACATACACACAATATTTTTTTCTGTGTGTGGGGAATGCTCTGTGGTCTTAAACTTATGAGAATAAAACTGTAGAAATTCAGGACAGCATTTCATAGACTAGATGGTGTTTTATAGAATTAACTTTTCAAACCTGATGCACATGTTAAAAGAATGCTAAAAGGGTAAATATTTACTAAATGTAGTAAACATGAACTTTTTAGAAAATCTTTTCCTTTTGAAAATCGCAGGCTTGGGAATTTTAATGAATTATCAATTAAATTAATGAATAAAGTATTCAAATTAACAAAAAAACTAAAAATTAAATTATCACCTTAAATGAAGTGTTAGATAAACCAGACTAGGTCTTCTTTGTACCAACACTGGTCTCTGGGTCAATTTAATTCTCCGCTGCAGCACGACGGAGCTAACTTACGGCTTTTGTTGTCCTCTTCTGTTCACTGCAGATTCGCAAACACCATACCCTTTTATGGCCTCATGGTCAACCTGCAGCACTTTGGGAGAAATATTTTCCTGTTACAGGTCATCTTTGGAGCTCTAACTACCTTGGCCCGATGTCTTGCACTCTGGGCACTGAATTACACAGGTCGTCGATTAACCCAGACATTTAATTTGTTCCTGCTGGGACTTTTCATTTTGACCAACACATTTGTGCCTCCAGGTGAGAGACGACTGGATGCTGGGAAAAGGTGATGTCTTTCCCCATCCTTCAGGGAGTGTACTGGCTCCATCTAGCCGAAGTCAGGAGTAGAGAGGGGCCAACGGGTGGCTGAGTGTTCAACAAAACAAGACAGATGGTTTAAGACAAAGGCTGTTAATAAGTTCTTGGGTCAGCAATAGGCAGCTCACACAAATACTTACCTTCACCCACCCTAGAAGTATCTGGAAACTGGAGCCATTTATTCCTGACGGTTACTGTAGAACAGCAATTGATAGTTGCCGCTTGGCATTCATGCTCTTAATAGTCAGAGTAGAGGGGGCAGGCCTCACGCTGCTGCCCCACGGGAGGACACAGCAGGGCCGCTCCCCACCTGGCTCTTCGGCTCCAGCTGAGACGACAGGGCCACCTCCCTGTCCGCACGTGTCCCCCTGTGTGGGCTGCAGCCATCGCTTACGGGAGTCTTCTGGACTCACAGGAAATGAAACAAAGCAAACAAAATACAATCTTCAAGTAGCCGAGGAGCGCACAGTCAGCAGAGGAAAGTCCTTGTCTGGTCTCTGACTTCGTGAGTCTCGGAGACCCCTAAGGGGCACGACGCGTCCTTGTCTCCCAGCGCAGGGCCTGCTGTGCACACGGCAGATCGCTGGCGTCTGACCACCAGAATACCACTCATGATGCAGGTTTACTCCCTTACAAGAGTCCTTTCAAATGCCACAAAGCTATAATCAGATTACTTTTTTTTTTAATTGGGCAGAAAACAATTCTCTGAAATGACTGTGTGATGGTTCCCAAATTCTGGCATTTTTCTCCAAATAGAAGTTTCCATTCTTGGTTCCTAACACCCAACTGCCCTAGCTCTAGCTTCTCTTCAGCTAGCCCACCAGAGGTAGTCCCGTCCTCCAGTACTCTCACCCCAGACCCACCCCGGGACAAGGTTGTGTCTACACTGGACTGACTGACTCACCCGGGTTTGCCTGGGACTTTCCTGTGAAGCCTGAAAACCTCACATCGCTGAATCCTCAGTTCCCAGGAAAACCAGGACGCCAGTCCTTTGAAGTCCTACTTTAATCGTGAAGTCCAAAAGTTTAGAGCTGATCTTAGACTCACTATTTGCCCTCATGGGGTCCTATAAAAGGATGGAACAAACGCTGGAGAGAATAAGTAGGAGCAAACCTGCAGATTCACCTTCCTTCTCCGGCAAATCTCAGCTAAGCAGACAGATATGCTACAATTTAATCCAGGTTCTATGATGGGCGTCAGCTACCAATGTTGATAGCTTTCCATTTCCCAGCCTGTCAACCACTCTGTCTTCTCTGCCAAGTGCAGTTTTCTACAGTACATTTCAAGCATAGACATGATCAATAGGGTCTATTTTGTAAGAAATCTAGGGGGTGCTGATTCCTTCAGCTCAGATCTCATTGTCTCCCTGGTCTTTATGTCTCCAGAGATGCAGACCCTGCGAATGACTTTGGCGTGTGTAGGAATGAGTTTAAGTGCCTCTGCTTCAACCAGCTTCGCCGTTCATTTGCTTGAACTCCTCCCCACTGTCCTCAGGTATAAGAGCTTGTGGATGCGCCACCCGGGGCCAGAACAGGACTTCCCAGCCAGGTGACACAGGTTCTGGGATAAAGGTGATAAAATCTGTTGTTGTAAAGCAGTCATTTGTATAGTAATATTACACGAAGATTAATCACATCCTAACTTTATTGACAACCAGCTTTGAATAAGCGAAGCTCTTGGCTAAGCTGTGCTTCAATGCGCCATCTCCAGAGTCTTTCCCACCAGCTGTCATGCTGGGAGATGCACAACCTTCTGTTTAAAATGATGAAAAAGCTCTTAACCCAACTGGAACCTGTCAAAGACAGCCAGACAATCACTGGTTAAATTTCAAAACAAGTGTTTGTCATCAACCTCAAATATTTAACACCTTGTTTCTATGTCTTTCACCATCCAGTCAAAATAAATGATCACAAATTACACACAAGTGTTTTTATGGATTTTTAGGTATTGTTTATCTTCCAGGGCAAGAGCTTTAGCAGTGGACACAATGGCTGCGAGGAGTGGATCAACGCTGGCCCCCCTGCTCATGATGCTCGTCGTGTTTCACCCCACTCTGCCCTGGATCATCTATGGAGTCACCCCCATGCCAGCTGGTCTCCTCGTCCTCCTCCTGCCTGAGACCAAGAATCAGCCTTTGCCGGACACCATCCAGGATGTGGAAAAATGGTGAGTGACGCTTCTGCCTACCCCAGGAAGACCGTGTACCCAGGTCTACAGGTGCCCAGAGAGCCTGGAGTATGCAGGGGAAGGAGAGGAGATGGTGGAGGGATAATGTGAGGGAGCCCCGGGCCTGAAAGGCTCCATATGAAGAGATAATAAAGGAAATCAATCTTGTTTGGGAGCCTGTAAGATTCAGACAGTTTTGCTTCCACAAGTAGTGAAAGTAGTTGAGGAGAAAGGAAAAAAATTTAAAATAGTAAAGTGAATTTTTTAATGAGAAAAAATAGTATATGAGTTTCCTATAATAATGGGCTTCAATAATAATGTGCCACACGCTGAGTGACTTAAAGAAGTTTATTGTCACAGTTTTGGGAGGTAGAAGTCTGAACTTGAGGTCCCTCTGAAGGTTCTGAGGAGGGTCTGTTTCTGCAATTGTGTCTTCTGGGGTTTCCTTCATTTGTGGCTGAGTAACCCCAATAGTCCCTCCTGGGCATGTCAAATTTCCACATTTTAAAAGACTCCAGAAATATGGGATCTGAGGCCCACCCTACCCAAGAAGGACCTCATCTCACTAGTTAAATCTACAACAATCTTATTTCTGAAAAGGGGATGTCAAATTCTGATACAGTATCTCACATTCTGAGATACAGGAAGTTAAGACTTCAACACATGAATCTGGAGGAACACAATTCAGCTAGTAACGAGTGAGGGAGGGGAGTTTTCCTTAAGATTTTTAAGCTGCTTCTTAACTTTCCAGAGGGGTCACTGGCCAGAGTTCTAAAGCGACCAAGTGAGAACAGCCACTATCAAATCTTCACTGGAGCAGGGACCTCCCAGCCCCTGACCAGCCCCTCCTGGATTTTACTGGATTATAAAAAAGCTGATGTTCACTGTATCAGCTTGTATTTATCCATGGGACATACAAATATTTTTTGTCTCTTTGTGTGTGTGTGTGTGTGGTTGTTATGTTTGTTGATTGGTTGTTTCTGTTTTGTTTTTCCAGCAAAAAAATCTCAAGCAAAGGAAATGTGAGCAATTCCTACATGAAAGTGACAAAATTTTAAGGAGCTTTCGTGAGCTGACTGGTAGAGAAAAGAAATATGTGGAAGATGGGCCTCCCCGGTGGCGCAGTGGTTGAGCTCCCCAGCCACCAGAGGAGGGTCCCACATGGCACTGCAGACCCCTCCTGCTGCCCGCTGCTCCCCTCAGCAGTGTACTTCGGTCCTTCTGCCTGCTCTGCTCCCCGCTCTGGCTCTGGTGAATTCTCTCACCCTCCCGCGCTTCTGACTGTACCCAGTGCTTGTATAAATAAATAAATAAATCTTTAAAAAAGAAAAGAAAAAAGAAATATATGGAAGAAAAACACCTAGGAGTTTTCTTTTACATCTATAAACCAGCAAGAAAATATACAGGACAGATAAATTTCCTTCACAACAATGGTATTCATTTGCAATTAAAAATTAAGTGAAAAAAGTAATTTGTGGGGCCATGTAGTTCCATGAACAAGTCTTTGGGGAAGTAGTTAAAAAGGTTTCAAGTTCATCAATCAATTATTAATAAACAGATGATTCAAAAACAAAGAAAACAATGAAATTAGAATGTAGCTGGCTGGTGTATGGAGCAGTAATTGGCAGGCTCTACATAAATCTATAAAATTCAGAATAAAACATATGCAACCAAAAATCAAAGTAAATCCAGAAGCAGATACCAATGTAGTTCAATAATGCTTGAACCTTTTAACATCATATACCAGCAAATATAATGATGTGCTCTTTGGAAACACTCACTTAATGATGACAATGGTGACTTTTCAGTGGTGGAGTTTAAGTGATTGTTACCTTTCCTTTGAAATTATCTCTCTCTTCATATCTTTAACAATCAACATAGATCCTTAAAATACTATAAAGTTAACATATCAAAATTGAATGGCAAATAACAGGATAAACAATTTTCAAAATGTGTGTACATTTGATAGATTATTACAAAATATTTACAAATGAAAAAATTATATGCTGAAGAGGGGTGAACCTAGACTCTAAATATCAGTCTTATAAACCAAAATTACCCCAATGAAAAATAATACAATAGAAAAAACATTGAGGAAACTGGACAAAGGATATACAGATACTTACATGTAATCTTTGCCACTTTTCTTTAAATATAAATTTATGCCAGATAAAAGTTTATTTAATAAAAATTGTATTCCAAATGGCATGCCTAATTTATGAAAAATTATTTAAACATACAAGTTAAAAGTGCTAATAATTCTCATTGTGGGGGTGAGGGCACAAAGCAATGATCATTCATAAAGTTGAAGTTGTTTTTCAAAATCAACCATGCTGGGCCTCCCCGGTGGCGCAGTGGTTGAGCGCTGGGTTGCGAAGCGGCCTCTGTGGCGCCGGTTCGATCCCCGGCTGCTCCCCGGCCACCAGAGGAGGGTCCCACATGGCGCGCAGACCTCTCCTGCCGCCCGCTGCTCCCCTCAGCAGTGTACTTCGGTCCTTCTGCCTGCTCTGCTCCCTGCTCTGGCTCTGGTGAATTCTCTCACCCTCCCACGCTTCTGACTGTACCCAGTGCATGTATAAACAGAACAAACAAACAAATAAATAAATAAATAACATGCCTCTATAAAGTAGTTAAAATAGTTAGAATTTTCATTAAGAAATGTATTCAGTCTTAATTCAAAAAATCCTTGTTGTACACATATAACTTATAAAGGACTTGTCTTACTCCTATGGACACAGAGCTTTAAGAAACATAAAACATAAAATTGTAAGTGTCAAAGAGTTCACAAATGCAACATGGATATCACATTGTGGTTTTCTACAATTTTATGATTGTAACCTGGAGTCTCAGTTCTCACTAGATAGCAAGATTCCAGAGCTAGTTGGGAGGCATATTCAAAGTCTATATTTAAAACAAAATTAGAAAATTAAAGAAATTCATGTCACTTAAAATTGACCAAGTTCTCCAGCCATAGCGGAAAGCTGTGTTTCCTCAGAACACTAAAAAGGGAGCTACCAAGGAATCCCACTCCTAGAAGCCTACCAAAAGGACACAAAAACACTAATTTGAAAGGAAACCTGCACTCTTATGTTTATTACAGCACTATTTACAATAGCCAAGATATGGTAACAACCCAAATGACCCAAAACAAATGAAAGGATCAAAATGTTGTGGTATATTTACACAGTGGAATATTACTCAACAATCAAAAGGACAAATTCATGCCATTTTGCAGGAACATGGGAGGGATTATGCTAGCCAAAATAAGTCATAAAGAAAATGATAAAGATCAGATGGTCTCACTTACATGTGGAACAAAAGGTCAAGAAAAAAGTCAAAACTAGCAGTTACCATAGATCTCAGGAATACAGCAGCTGGGGGGAGGAGATTTAAGGGGGGGTCAAAATAGGGGAGGGAAGGATACAAGGGAATATGGTGATGGTTCATGAATGATATGGTGGAAGGAGAACTATGAGGACTACAATAATGTAAGCAAAACAAAATTGAATTAATCAATTAAAAAAATTTTGACCAGGTTCTCAAGATGCACTGTTGGTGGGAATGTAAACTGACCAAGTCACTATGGAAAATAGTATAGACATCCCTCAAAATATTACAAGGAGATTACCATACAGTCCAGAAATTCTACTTCTGAGTTTTTATCTGAAGAATATGAAACCCTAATTTGAAAGAATATATGCATCCTTATGTTACCTGCAGTACTATTCACAGTAGATAAGCTATGGAAATAACCTAAGTGTCCATCCATAGATGAACAGATGAAAAATCAGTATATATACAACGGAATACTACTCAGTCATAAAAAGAATGAAATCTTGCCGTTTGTGACAACATAGATTGGTCCCGAAGGCTTTGTGCTAAGGAAGTAAGTCAGACAGAGAAAGGCAAATACCATATGATCTCACATGTGGAATCTAAAAAGAAAGAAAGAAACAAGCTCGCAGATAGAGAATAGCATCATGGTTGTCAGGGGTCCAAGGGGCAAGCTGAGGGTGGGTAAAACAGGTTAAAGAGGTCAAAAGGAAGATACTTGGAGTTATAAAACAAGTAAGTCACAGGGACATAATGTACAGCATGGTGACTGTAGGTAACCATGCTGTATTGCATACTTGAGTGTTGCTTAGTAAATCTTAAATGACTTCATTACAAGAAGAAATTTTTATAGCTAAATACAGGGGTAGATGTTAAGGAAACTTATTGGCGTGATTGCTTCAATATATAGAAATATCAAATCACTGTGATATACACTTCAAACTAATGTAATATTAGTCAATTATACCTCAAATTTTTTTTTTTTTTTTACATACCAGCCATTGGGGAAATCAGTCCCACTAGAATCCCCAAGACCCACAAGCAAGACCCTTGCAGCTGAAGCTTCCCACCCCCTCCCTGGGAAAGTGCATTAAAGCCTGGCCCCTTGGGGTGTGCCTTGCCTTTGACTTCTGCACTCTCAGAATCTGCTTCAGGTACAGCCTTGAGAAAAGCAACTGTTGTTGAGATTATCTGAATGTCATCAGACAAAGCTGAAACTTCGATAAAACTGACATCTGGTCAGGGTGGGGCTGGGCGGGGAATGGAAAACCACTCCACTTGCAACCACCTTGAAAGTAAGTTCTCTTGCTCATTGAAACCGCCTCCTACCAACCTGAGTGGTCAGCCTTGTTCTTCGGTCTCTCCTTGCCTCCATCTCTGAGGACGAGGGGAGAGCTCTGTTTTCAGGTTACATCTGAGAAGATCCTGAGGTTTCAGCCCAAATTTAAGTTTGAGCTTAAGGGTGTGGGAAAACAAACTCTTTCTGGAACTTCTTGCAGTTCTAGTAATAGGTACAATATTTAAGAGACAATTTAGGAGATATAACAAGATTTAAAGGGCATAACCTCTGTTTTAGAAATTGAACTGAAAGAACTTTGTCTTAAGTAAGTAAAGACAATGGGATGCATGTATTAGGTTGTCCATTAAAAAAGTTTCAAAGAAAAACTGGACAAGAACTCAGTTTTCTAATTGAGTAAATTAGTATATATCTACCCAATTTATTTCCATCTGCCAACAGAAAAGGGTTAACATAGCAGTGGCTAAGGGCGGGGAGTGGGGGCACCAACATGCATTAAGTAAGGAAAGCAGGAAACAAAATGTGTAACAGGACACTATTCTTACATTCTCTTTTTTTAAAGATTTATTTATTCATACAAGAGCTGGGATGGAGGCCAGAGGTGTGGGGGGTGTGAGGATTCGCCAGAGACAGAGTCAGGAGCAGAACGGGCGGATCTACTCAAATTCACTGCTGAGGGGAGTTGCGGGCAGTAGAGGAGAGGCCTGCTGCACCATGTGGGTCACCTCCCCAGCAGGGGATCAAACTTGTGCTGCAGTAGGTGAGCATTGCTTCACAGTGCTGATGCTTAACCCCTTGCGCCACCAGGGAGGCCCCTATTCTTATATTCTTATAGGGAAAAAATAGTGGTCGATACATTAAGTCAAAATGTTCACATTAGTGTCTGTGTGTTACAACTGTTAAGATTTGCTATCATGAAGCAAATCTTTACATTTCCAAAATATTCTGTGAAGAATGTTCAATTCCATAGTGAAAGAAAATAAAAACACTATAGTGGGGAAAAAAGATTATTTGTGTATATTTGTAAACTTACTGGGTAAGGAAGTCATTTTCCACAGGGCTTTGGGCCTGTGGGACTTACAGCCCCAAGTCAGCACCCCTTCCCACCTCTATGAAGCTAAAACTGGAGCTCCTGGCCCCCTTCACTATACAGCAAGAGCTGGCCAAGGGGCCATGGGCTCACCCTACTAACATCTTCTCACTTCAGTAAGTGGGGTTCCACCAGCCATTCCCAACCTTGATCTCTCTGGCTTCAAACCCTCATTAGCTTCCCCCTTGTATCAAATACCCACACCCTACCAGGATACCTCTCTGGGGAAACCAACTCTACAGCCAGGGACCACGCAAAGGTGCCTAGAACCACCTCTCACCCCAAAAAAATCCTGTATAGACTGGCCTCTCTTTACACAAGGCCCTTCTCTACAAGGC